TATCGCGCCATAAAGTGGTACTGCATTACACTATGACTGGTACTACTTTTTGTAAATGTTGAGCAGAATTGAAATAATCAATTTTTCTTCACAAAAGTTAGTACTAATCGATCAATAACATGTACTACGTAGAAGAAAAAGAGGTATTATTTCTGTAGAAACTGATACCATTCAATGAGTTGAAGTGTATAAGGTGTTTTTCCATTAGTGTGTTGAGTTCGTGATGAATTTGCAATTAAAATTAATTAACCAAATATCAAATCTCATATAAACTAATGTCAGAGTGATTATGGATCGTATAAACATCATTTGCGACCGAAATTCGGTCTTCTTATGTGTTCATTACAAGTGGTACTAGGGACAGGATATCTGGTACTAACTCTCCATAATGTGGTACTGACTTACACTATGACTGGTACTACTTTTTGTAAATGTTGAGCAGAATTGAAATAATCAATTTTTCTTCAAAAAAGTAGGTACTATTAGATCAACATCAGGTACCATGCAGAATAAGATGCGGTACTATGTGCCCAGAACCGGTACTATTATCAGAATCGCGATTTCTCTAATCCTTCATGTCTACCATGACACATGGGTCGTTCACACGTGATTTGAATGAAAAAAAGTGGAATTGAAAACATATAGGTAGAATTTGGAGTAGTAATGTATGATGATTTCTATGAGATGAAGTGTGTCATTCAATGAAATGAAGTCTAGTAGTAGTGTTTTCTCATTAGTGTATCGAGTTCATGACCAATTTGCGATTAAACTCAATAAAAAACATTTAAAATCTTATATAAACTAATGTCAGAGTGATCATGGGTCGTATAAACATCATTTGCGACCGAAATTCGGTCTTCTTATGTGTTCATTACAAGTGGTACTAGGGACAAGATATCTGGTACTAACTCTCTATAGTGTGGTACTGACTTACACTATGACTGGTACTACTTTTTGTAAATGTTGAGCAGAATTGAAATAATCAATTTTTCTTAAAAAAAAGTAGGTACTATTCGATCAACATCAGGTACCACACAGAATAAGATGCGGTACTATGTTGCCCAGAACCGGTACTATTATCGGAATCGCGATTTCTCTAATCCTTCATGTCTACCATGACACGTGGATCGTTCACACGTGATTTGGATGAAAAAAAAGTGGAATTGAAAACATATAGGTAGAATTTGGAGTAGTCATGTATGATGATTTCTATGAGATGAAGTGTGTCATTCAATGAAATGAAGTCTAGTAGTAGTGTTTTCTCATTAATGTATCGAGTTCATGACCAATTTGTGATTAAAATCAATCAAAAACATTTAAAATCTTATATAAACTAATGTGAGAGTGATTATGGGTATTATAAACATCATTTGCGACTGAAATTCGGTCTTCTTATGTGTTTATTACAAGTGGTACTAGAGAGACGATATCGGGTACTAATACGCCATAAAGTGGTACTGTCTTACACAATGACTGGTATTACTTTTTGTAAATGTTGACCACAATTGAAATAATCAATTTTTCTTCGCTAAAGTAGGTACTAATCGATCAAAAGCAGGTACCACGTAGAAGAAGATGCGGTACTATTTTGCCAAAAACTAGTACTATTTTCAGAATCGCGATTTTTCTAATCCTTCATGTCTACCATGACACGTGGATCATTCACACGTGATTTGGATGAAAAAAAGTGGAACTGAAAACATATAGGTAGAATTTGAAGTAGTCATGTATAATGATTTCTATTAGATGAAGTGTGTTATTCAATGAAATGAAGTCTAATAGTAGTGTTTTCTCATTAGTGTATCGAGTTCATGACCAATTTGTTATTAAACTCAATCAAAAACATTTAAAAGCTTATACAAACTAATGTTAGAGTGATTATGGGTCGTATAAACATCATTTGCGACCGAAATTCGGTCTTCTTATGTGTTTATTACAAGTGGTACTAGAGAGACGATATCTGGTACTAATACGCCATAAAGTTGTACTTTCTTACACAATGACTGGTACTACTTTTTGTAAATGTTGACCACAATGAAAATAATCAATTTTCTTTTTCACAAAAGTAGGTACTAATCGATCAAAAGCAGGTACCACGTAGAAGAAGATGCGGTACTATTTTGCCCAAAACTAGTACTATTTTCAGAATCGCGATTTCTCTTATCCTTCATGTCTACCATGACACGTGGATCGTCCACACGTGATTTGGATGAAAAAAAGTGGAAGTGAAAACATATAGGTAGAATTTAGAGTAGTCATGTATAATGATTTCTATGAGATGAAGTGTGTCATTCAATGAAATGAAGTCTATTAGTAGTGTTTTCTCATTAGTGTATTGAGTTCATGATCAATTTGCGATTAAACACAATAAAAAACATTTAAAATCTTATATTAACTAATGTGAGAGTGATTATGGGTCGTATAAACATCATTTGTGACTGAAATTCGGTCTTCTTATGTGTTCATTACAAGTGGTACTAGAGAGGCGATATCTGGTACTAATACGCCATAAAGTGGTATTGTCTTATACTATGACTGGAACTACTTTTAGTAAATGTTGATCACAATTGAAATAATCAATTTTTCTTCAAAAAAGTAGGTACTAATCGATATAAAACAGGTACCACGTAGAAGAAGATGCGGTACTATTTTGCCCAAAACTGGTACAATTTTAATGAGATGAAGTGTTGGTAGTGTTTTTTCATTAGTGTGTCGAGTTCGAGACCAATTTGCAATTAAACTTAATTAAAAACATTATAAATCTCATAAAAACTAGTATGAGAGTGATTATTTGTCATGTAAACATCATTTGAGACCGAAATTCGATATTTTATGTGTTCGTTACCAGTGGTACTGATGAGCTAATATCCGGTACTATAAAAATACAAAACTGGTACTAGTGTTAATAAACTAGGTACTACTATGAATAGAAACTGGTATACATTTTAAAAACACATCCTTAAATGAGTACTAGCTACTAGAAAAAGAGTACTTTTACGCAAAAAATGCGGTACTAATATTAAGAAAACAGGTATCATTAGGAATCAAAGCAAAAAAATAAAAAAATCTGTTGTAAATATTTTTCCAGAGTAGAGTCAAAAGATTCGAACACCGCGTCGTGTCTCTCGAGGAAGGTTAACCGGATTATTATGCACGTTTATTCAACCACACAAAAGAAAATAAAAATTCCTAAACATTCTAATTCAGATGATTTGGTTTGATTATTAACTACGAAGAACAACTTCAAATAAGCAAATGGAAATAGCAATCAACGACGAAGAACAAGTAGGATTTAAGGAGCTAGGGAGTCGGGGATATCCGTTTTGGTTAAAAAATGCAATTGTCAAGCAAGAGATTGTTCGGTTAAGTGATTTGACTAATCGACACGTTCAAGCACTCATTCCCAATAACTTTTTGTAACAAGAAAACAAACTAGAACGGAAAATTAACAATTCATTTAACTCCTAGGCAATACAGTTACGAACAAGCCTAGTTCATACGAGCCTATTTCGACCGACTCCTCTCCTTTCGGTTCTAAGAGTCCATTAACGTAGACTAGAAGGTGTTTAATCAACTAGTCCCTTTAGAATAACCAACATCAAGCAAGAATATATGGAACTCAATTGCCCTTCAACAATTCTAAATACTCGAGCCCGACAATTGAAAAACCTTAGAAAAAGATCAACTCGTATGAAATTGAACAATCCTGAGCCCGAAAATCACAAACGATATCAAAATATCAATCCCCTATCCCTAGCATATGAATTTAGCTATTCATAATCAAATAATCAACACAAGAAATCTCAACCCAAGAACTCATATTTAACGAATAAATTAAAAAAGAATCTTACGATTGATAAATCCCGAAGTTGAATTCGAATAACAAGCTTGAATCCAAAAGCAATAGCAAAATCCAAGTTCAAATCCTTGTTCTACGTTCAAAAAAATGAAAGAGGAATGAAAAACGAGTTCAAAAGATGAAGGGGATAGGGTTATATCGTTTCTGGAATGAGAGATCTCTTTTCTGATCGTCGTACGTGCATTTATATAGTAGAGAGGGTCCACGACGTGATGTTGGTGCAGCACGGCGCGGGAAGCTCGTCTGGCGCGGCGTGGTGGGTGTTCGCGGCGTGGCGGGTGCGAGCGTCGCGGCGTGGTGGAGGCTTCGCGGCGCGGAGCATTGCTGGGTCGTGTCTTCTGAAGTCCCGTGGCGTGCGTCGCGTGATGCACCGCGGCGTGGAGCGAAAATGCTGTCGCGGCGCGATGGTTGGACGCGGCGTGAAGGAGGGCAGCTCCGTGGCGTTGGAGTCTCGCGGCGTGGTGCGTTGGTAGAATACTCTGTCCAAGCGTGATGTCATCACGGCGCGGTGCGCGGGCGCAGTGGGCCTGAGGCTGGTACTTGGGCAACTTGCTCGACTTAGTTTCTCGGGCCCGTTCGAGCTCATTTGGACTCGGAATTCGATTCTATTTTCTCCTGTGTGATGCCAACGAACTTTTCTACGAGATGATGCTCGTCAAAACAATTTTCTCCTCCATAACAAAATCGACCATGGACTCAACCTGCACACCACAGACGAAGAAAAACTGGAAAAATACCAAAAACAAAACGCAAGAAGACCAAACGAGAACAAGACGTACAATAAACTATAAAACGAATAAAAGCTAACGAAAAGACCTAAAACGGGGGAAAAAGAAATGAAAAATAAGAAGAAAAAACGTAACAAAAATGAGACAAACAACATCCATTCAAACTACTTAGTCCACAAATCATCATCCATAAAATTACACAGTAGAAATGCTCACAAATACAATTCATAACAACTTGAGAGAATAGACCATGAAATTGTTATTAGATCCAGACATCAAAATGGCAAGTCTGAAGTATCTCAAGTTTCACACAAAGGAGGAAGAATCTTGATAAGCAAATATAATTTACAGCAGTAATACTCATTGTGAATACACACAAACATAGACATATCTGAAAAAAAAAAAAAAATAAATCAACCTTTAATTTCCTCCATATTAGACTGCAAATGCACCCTATTACACTCCAACATTCTGAAAACTTCCTTTCCAGCATCATAAGCTACCATAAAATGATCTTCAATGTCTTTCAAAGCCTCCAAAAGCTCTCGCCCTCTCCCCGGCGTGTCGATCACATTCAAAACCTCGTTTTGCCTTTCCTCAGCCCGGTGCATTTTAGCACCACCACCCACTTCACTCTCCACAACTTCAACTCCATTTTCCTTCTCTTTCTCCAAATCACTCCTCTTTCTCTCAACTGCACATTCTCTCTCATCTTCCAGCTCCGGTATCCCTTCTTCTTCCCTCACGACTCTCAAATCCTCCTCTGAAATATTCTTATTAATATTATTATAAACATTTATCATCTCCGGCGTCGCCATTGCCACATTTTCGAAAGGGTTGAAAAAATCTTACTCGAAACCCCTCTGTGGTGAGGCCATTGTGTTGCTCCGAGGCATGTCCATGTAGAAATACCCACAAATCTTTTTTTTTTCTTCATTTTCTTCTTCTTCGTCATTTTTTTATTTCTATTTTCACTTTTTCGAGGGGCTTGTGTTCTTCGGAGGCAGAGCTTCTAGAAGAACTGCATGAGTCGCAAGGTACGACCTTTTTGCTTGACTCAGATGGGTTTTGCTTGAGGAGTAAAGGGTCTGAGACGACTGCATTTTTCTCCGGCACCGATGGGATTGTGATATACAGCGGCGGAGGAGAATGGCGGGCCACGAAGAGGTTTATGGCCGCCGAGACTCCATAAAGAGATTGACAATACTTGTAATGTGCATCTGCAAGAGCATACCTTCTCTCAACGGCTCGTTTGATCTGGCGCTTTCTCTCTCTACAGATGGACACAACTTCCTCTTGGAAGAAAAATTCAATTACAAATTATTGTTCACGCAATGTGAGCAAGTTCAAGTGGAAAAGCAAATCGAACTAGATATTCCCATCATGCTTCAAAAAGTATATATATGTTGGAACTCTTAAGAATTTTAAAATTAATTTATAGCAATCAATATTTTTCATAAGCAAAATGAATATCCAGTTCATTTTTCTTTTCCACTAGAACTTGCTTACAGTCGCATTGCGTGAAGCCATGAACTATGATTTGTAATTGAACTTTCTTTCGAATAGTTATTTTCGAATTGAAATTGAATCTTACAAAAATTAAATCCAAAAGCTATCTCTATGTTAGGATCTTTAAGAATTTCAAAATTGATTTACAATAACAATAGCAACAATAATTGATCAAAAAAACATACCAAAATCAATAAAACTCAAATAAATCAATAAAACCCTAGACATGCAAATAGCCTAATTTATCAATGAAATTCATAATTGGTGAAATGAAACTCAAATTCGAAGTACACTAGCATCAACCAAATACCTAATTTTGAAAAATCTCAAATTCAATAAAAAAAATCAAAATTTTGAAAAAAATCCCCAAATTCCGAATTGAAGAAAAAATTCAAAATTGTTCAAATTTTTTTTGCAAAATCTTACCTTGCTTACTGTGGAAGACGGTTTGTCAGATGTGGAACGGCGAGGAGGATGGTTTTTCAAGCTCGCCATGGAATTTTCCCACAGAATTGGCCGACAATTTTTAGAGAGAGAGACGATCAACGAACTGAATTTTCAGAGAGAGACGAACGAAGAGAGATGAAACTTTTTCAGAGAGAGAGACGCTCAGCAACGAAAATTTGAGAGAGAGAGCGACGGCCGGTGATGATTTTGAGAGAGACAGAAACGGCGAGAGAGAGACGAAGAGAGAGAGAGAGAGAGAGAGGAGAGCTTCAATTCAATTTTTTATGAAAATAAGGCAATATAAAAGAATTATAATAAGAGTAGTATATATATGTGGAGTGATTTGGAAAGAGAAATTAGCATTAAGGAGTGATAAGGAAGTTTAAAAGTGATGGGACTGACAAGGAAGTTGAAATGTGAGTTAGGGCTTTATAAGGAATTACCCGTCATTTCAATCGCTTATCAAAACAAAAAAATTGACAAAAACCCTTACTCCCCAATTCAATCGCATTGTTTCCCCTTGTCAAGAAACCATGTGTCGACAATATATCAAAGTAGAAAACATTAAAGCTGACATCCATGATCACGGGAGTGTTCTGCCTTCGGCTGCCATGTTTTCTAGCTTATATACATATGATAAAACAATAATATGCAAAGAAAAAAAACCTAAGCTACGATTGGTTGTGAAGGAATCTTCATGGTAAACCAATGAGAGAGCTGCAACTGTGTTGTTCCAGCTCATCTTTGTCTCTTGCTCAACGTTCAAAAAACTCAATCTTGTGGCTCATATGCATGCCAACATGATGATGATCCAATGGTTGTTGTTGCATGTTGGGATTAGTCTCATTAGCAATAGCACAATGACTTCTAACATCCCCCCTCAATTTGAGCTCGGTTTTAGGAGATATGTGAAGTTTGTTTCTTAACCTGGAGAAGAATTGTAAGCCCAAGAGGCTTTGTAAGAATGTCAGCCACTTAATCAATCGAAGGTACATGCAGTACATGGAGATTCTTTGATAAAAGTTGTTGTCTAACAAAGCGAAGATCAATCTCTTTGTGTTTAGTTCTAGCATGTTGAACTAGATTGGAGGCAAGAGCAATTGTACTGATGTTATATGCCCATACACATGCAATTTTCTGAGGAGGAATGCACAACTCTTTTAACAGTAACTGAAGCCACATAATTTCAGCAGTGACATGAGCCAAACTTCTATACTCTGATTTTGTGCTTGATCTTGAAACACTAGCCTGCTCTTTGATCTCCATGAGAAAAAGTTTTCTACCAAAAAATACACAGAAACCAGTATTTGATTTCCTGTCATCCAAATCACTAGCACAATCAGAGTCTGAAAATCCTACAACATTGAGCTGTTTTGATCTCACAATTAGGCATGTCAACAAAACCCTCAGGGTGGGTTACCCGCATTTTTGGGTCGAGTAAACTCGGGATGATCGGGTTTAGGGTAGAATTATGCTACTCGAACTCTGGGTCGGGTCGGGTTTGGGTACGATATAAAAACTCGTTACCCGACCCGTTTATCCAACTCGTTTACCCGTAAGCATCAAATCTTATATATATATATATATATATATATAGGATTTGGTTCAAATGAGAACTAAGTCCTAGCGTGAGAACCGCGAGAACCGCTATTTATAGTTGTACGTAGTGCTATGATTGATTGTGTTTTAGTGCTATTTTTAAAATGGATCTATTTTCTTAAAAATAACAACACAATTTATATTAGCATATGTGAAAATGATAGCACCATGTAATATTAAAAATAACATCATACACAATAAAAAATAGCATCAAATACGGTTCTCACTCCAGGACTAGTTTTTATTTGAACCACTCCCTATATATATAAATTTTTTTACATATATGTAGAGTTAGGATAATATGAGAATGGGTCATAGTGAAAGAAATAAGAATGAATCATAGCCTTTGGATGTGATATATCAACGATCTAGACGCGGTCAAAGGGTCCAGTTTTAGTCAAACACGCGGTGGCATTTCTGCAAATAAGTGGAGTTTTGATTTTCACGCAGGGGTATTTTAGTTGTTTGAGCAAAATGCATTGTTGCAATAAAGCGTAATATCACATGCATAAATGTGCAATTCGTCTAACGATAATGTGTAGTCTGTAGAGTGATATTTTTAAGGTGCAATTCTAATCGCGATATCGTGCAATGCACGATACATTAATGTGCAATTTATAAAGTTTTATTAAATTACAGTTTGAGCTCATGAACTAAGTTGTAATATTATTAGAATTTATAAAATTGCAATTGGGTCCCTAAAACTTATCTAATTTTTAAAATTATCCAACCCCAAATCGGGAGTTGAAATCAAACAGAGATGGCGGAGGTGGAATGTAATCGGGAGTTGAAATCAAACATCGATGACGGAGGTGGAACGTAATCAGGAGTTGAAATCAAACAAAGACACTGTAATCGGAAGTTGAAATCAAACAGAGACACTGTAGACTGTGTGTGTAGGTGTTTTTTGTGCTCGCGTCTGTGTGTGAGTGTGTGTGCATGTCTGTGTGTGTTTGACCGGCGGAGGAGGTGCTGGTAGACGGCGGGGCGGCTAGCAGTGACCGGCGGAGGAGGTACTGGTGGCGGCTGTTTGTCCTATTTTTGCTATCTTTTTCTTTGTTTATTTGTTAGTTTTTACCCTCGTTTTTAGGAATCTTTTAGTTCTTTTGGTCCACCAGTCGTTCGCTTTATGTGTTTGCCGTTTATTTCCCATTTTCAATATTTTCTGCTCTCTTGCCTGTTTCCGTGTGCTTTTCTTTTGTCTTTGGTGGTGTGCAAATTCAGGTTTTTCATCGCACGTTTGGAGCTACTCAAAGAACCGAGTAACAGAGCAGCTACGTCCAAGCCTTGAACACGAATCAGTCCCGTGCCAGTTTTCCAGCCACCGCGCCGTGGCGTATGATCGAAACGGAGATCTGCACCGCGAAGATGCCACGACCTGGATAGATGGTTTGGCACATGACCTCTCCACGCCGCGAAACCTGCCGCGCCGCAATGGATCTCTCTGTCGCGCCGTGTTCCCCACCTTGCGCCGCGATGGACCTCTCTGCCGCAGCGCAAGATCTTTTGAACCTGAAACCGTCCGCGTTTAAATAGGATCGAGCCAAGGGTTTTAGTATTATTATTCAGACTTCATTTTCGTTCGTTCGGGAATTATTCTCAGACTTGGTTTTTCATACTGTTTTCACCTTAGAAACATTTTCTCTTCAATTTTCACTTTGGATTCATTGAATTTTTCTTGGATTTGTGTTTTGGAGATTGTGGCACTCCAAAACAAACACGGTTTGGCTTGTATTTTGATTTCGTTCTTGACTTAGATTATTCGTGATTTCCTTTCATTTTATTATGGATGTGAATTATTGTTTTGAATCTATTGTTGTGATTGATATCAATATGTGTGGCTAAATCATTCGGTTAGGGGAACGAGATATTTGTTTTGGTTCGATTGAGTTGAATGTGTTGTTTTTCGTTCAATCTATTCGAGTTGTGTTCATTCTATGGTTAGATGCTTGATCAACATCATACTCTAACTAATCGATTTGTAGAACCGAAAGGGGAGAAATTGATTGTTCTTGGCTCGTTTGGAATAGGTTTGTTCGTTAATGTATTGCCTATGTGTTAAGTGTGTCAATAATCGACTTGTTTATGTTTGTTCTCTTGTTACGAGATGTTATTGAGAATTAACCTCAAAGTGAGTAGGTTACTTGATTCCATGACCTAGCGACTGTATGCTCATTGATTGCTTGAGAACCATAAACGAATATCTCCGACTCCCTAACCCCTCGCATTATTATTTGAATCTCATTGGAATTTGAAGCTTGGTTTGATATATTTTATAATTCGTAGTCATTAATTAAAAACTCAACCAATTGAATTAGGGTGTTTAGGATTGTTTTTTCTATTTTCGTGTGATTGAATATCCGTACAAATGTTCCAGCTGACCTTTCTTGAGATACGACCCGGTGTTAGAATCTTTCGATTCTACTCCGGTAAAAATAAGTACAACAAAATGGCGCTGTTGCCGGGGAAGGTTTAGGACTTATTTTGTGCGCCTATTCATCTTGTTTTCCATGTTTCGCTTACTTTTTGTGATTTCTTGTTTTCGTGTTTCTTTTCGTTTCGTTTTCTTGTTTAGGTTTAGTGTTTTCTTGTTTTGCTTTTCTTTGTCTCTTTCTATCTATCTGGTGCCCGTGACGTTTTTGTTGTTTTTTGTTTATGCGTACCAGGAGTGGTCGTGTAATCATCCCGAACAACAAATCCATCCAAAGGGATCTACAAGACTTGTTGGCTAACCTTGCCCCTGAATCTTCAGACTCAGCCAACCGAGACTCAGACAACCGACACAGAATGGCAAACGACAAAGAGGAAGTAAATAACCCCCCTTGTCATCTTCTTCGTGATTTGGCCCAACCAATGATCGGGCCTGTGACTTCTTGCATCCGGCTAAGACCAGCATCTCGGAACTACGAGCTCAAGACGATCCACTACAACCAACTGCCATCCTTCCACGGTTTACCCAACGAGGACCCATTCCATTTCATCCGGGAGTTCTATAATGTCCTCCAGACTTTCCCTCTCCATAACCTGAACGAGGACCAGCTGAAAATGAGGTGTTTCCCCGAAACACTCAAGGACCGGACCAAAGCTTGGTTTATGACACTTGCTCCCGACTCCTTCACCACTAGGAAGCAAGTGTACACCAAGTTCATTGGGAGGTATTACTCCCACCAGAAGACGTAGGAGCTTCGGTCCCAGATCGTTTCCATTGCCCCACAGCCAAACGAGCTACTCCATGAGGCATGGGAGCGCTTCAAAGACCTTCAGAGACAGTGCCCACACCACAACTTCCCACCTGCCTTGTTGATGAACAGCTTCTATGACTCTCTCCACCAGAATCTTCAGTACATGGTGGACAATGCGGCCGGTGGAGATATTAGGGCAAAGACGACCGAGGAGATGAATGTTATTTTTGAGGCGATGAGTTCTAACTCGTCTCAAAAGAGTAGTCGAGGAAAGAGGGCCGTGGTCAGCGAAGTATCTTCTGGGCCGTGCTCTCTTGCCTATTCTTGTGTTCTTTTCTTTCGTCTTTTGTGGTGTGCAGATATAGGTTTTTCATCGCACGTTTGGAGCTAGTAAAAGAACCGAGTAACCGAGCAGTTACGTCCCAGCCTTGAACACAAATCAGTCCCGTGCCAGTTTTTCAGCCACCGCGCCGCGGCGTATGATCGAAACGGAGCTCCGCGCCATGAAGATGCCACAACCTGTACAGAGGGTTTGGTACATGACCTCTCCACGCCGCGAAACTTGTTGCGCCACGATGGATCTTTCTGTCGCGCCGTGTTTCCCGCCTCGCGCCGCAATAGACCTCTTTTCCGCGTCGTGTTCCCCGCCTCGCGCCGCGGCAAGCCTCGCGCCGCAGCGTAAGATCTTTTGAACCTGAAATTGTCCACGTTTAAATAGGATCGAGCCAAGGGTTTTAGTATTATTTTTCAGACTTCATTTTCGTTCGTTCGGGGATTATTCTCAGACTTGGTTTTCATAC